TATGTTTCATAACTCTAATTCTCACATTAACAACACAGCATGTTAATATTAGTAATAGAGTTCAAAGATTCAGTGGTCATACCAATCCTTATAACTTAGTTTTCTTTTTCTTTCTTTCCACATCTCTCTTGCTCTTCTTTAGTTTATTCCTTATTGCATTCCTCAAGAAAGACTTATAGGTCCTAGTGAAATGTACATATAACTACTTTATTCAAATACACATCCTCACACACATTTAAACTTCAGAATAACAATGCCAATATAGTTATCTACAGTATGTTTTAAAAAAAACAACAGTATGTTTACTGAAATTTTTAAATATTTTTATTGTGTTTTTTACATTAACATAATACTATTTTACTTGTTGAAGTTCTTATTCTTGGTTGTTTATTTTTCCATATGGATTTTTCAAACAACATGTTTAATTCTAGGGAAAATAAATCCATTTGTATTTTTTATTTGGATTGCATTATTTTTATTTCGCCTCTCTTTTTATATAATATGCATCTGTTGGAATTTACAGCAAGATGGCATTTCTGAGGGGCATTAAAGAAGCTAATCATTAGACTGACATATCCTATCTAATAATAGAGAAACATGGTAATTAACCATAACTTCACTACCCTTCCTGTTGGCTAATCAGCGAGATATGCAAATTAACTGCCAGGCAAGATGGTGGCTGGCAGCCAGGCAACTGAAGCGAACAGGAGGCTTGCTTGCTCCAGTGACGGAGGAAGCCAAGATTCCCTGCCTGCTGCTGCCCAGCTCTGAGCTGCTCTCTATAAGCAACTATGTTGCAAATATAGAAGCTAAACAAAACCAAGAAACCTGCTTTCAGTCATCCAGAATCTCAGAGCTGGAGTCGCAACAAAGTTTCAAATACAGAAGGTAAACAAAGCCCAGAAACCTGCTTTCAGCAGCCGAGGTCTTAGAGCTGGAGCCTAGCCTCAGAGCTAAAGCTGGCTCTCAGCTCCAGTGACAGCCATAGAAGGTAAATAAATCCCAGAATAAAAAAAAAGAAAAAAAGGAGAGGTTGGGAGCTTCAGTCACCTGCCAGCCTGAAAACAGCCCTCAGCCCCTCACCCAGACTGGCCAGGCACCCCAGTAGGGACCCCCACCCTGAAGGGGGTGTGACCAGCTGCAAACAGCCATCATCCCCTTATCCAGGCTGGCCAGGCACCCAAGCGGGACCCCCACCCTGATCTGGGACACCCTTCAGGGCAAACCAGCCGGCCCCCACCCGTGCACCAGGCCTCTATCCTATATAGTAAAAGGGTAATATGCCTCCCAGCACTGGGATCAGCCGAGCCGCGAGGCCTCCTGGCACCGGGATCAGTGGAGCCGCAAGGGCTCCCGGCCTGGGATCAGCGGAGTCTCCCAGCACCGGGATCTGCGGAGCAGTGAGGCCTCCCAACACCGGGATCAGCAGAGCAGTGAGGCCTCCTAGCACTGGGATCAGCTGAGCAGCAAAACCTCACTGCCCCGGTGTGAAGCGGAGCCGCGAGGCCTCCCAGCACTGGGATCAGCGGAGCCGCGAGGCCTCCTGGCCCCTGGAGCAGCATGACAGGGGACAGTGCCCAAACCCCCTGATCACCCTGCGGCTCTGTGTGTGACAGGGGGCGGGGCCACAACCTCCCTATCTACCCTGCTCTGTTCATGACAGGGGAAGGCACAACAACCCCCTGATCGGCCCTGCTCTGTGCCTGATAGGGGGGAGCTCCCCAACACCCTGATCGGTCCTGCTCTGTGTGTGACAGGGTGCTGTGCCCCAACCCCCCCATGGGCCCTGCTCTGTGTGTGATGGGGTGGAGCTGCAACCTCCCCATCGGCCCTGCCCTGAGTGTGACAGGGGGAGTGCCCCAACCCCCTGATCGGCCCTGCTCTGTGGGTGACAGGGTATGGAGCCCCAACCCCCCTGATGGGCCCTGCTCTGTGTGTGACAGTGGGCAGCGCCCCAACCCCCTGATCCACCCTGTTCTGTGCGTGACAGGAGCTGGCGCCGCAACCTCCCCATCGACCCTGCCTTGAGTGTGACAGGGGGCGGTGCCCCAACCCCCCAATCGACCCTACCTTGAGCATGACTGAGGGTGGCATCACAACCTCCTGATCCACCCTGCTCTGTGCATGACAGGGGGTGGCACCCCAACTCCCCAATCGGCCCTGCTCTGAGCCCGACCAGGGGCTGCGGGGCAGGCACCTAGGGATTGCGCCTGCCCTCTGCCACCCGGGAGTGGGCCTAAGCCAGCAGGTTGTTATCTCCCGAGGGGTCCCAGACTGTGAGAGGGCACAAGTGGGGCTGAGGGATACTGCACCCTCCTCCTCCCCCCCCCCCCGCCAGTGCACAAATTTTTGTGCACCGGGCCTCTAGTTATTCTAATAAAAGACTCATATTCTAATTCTAGAGGAAAATAAGTGTTACTCTTCTTCTTGAGTAGACTTTTCCACTGAGATACAGAATCCTAGAGTATTGATTTAATAAGCCAGCTTATTATGGCCACCCTCATGCATTTGGGATTTCTCAGAGAGGAACCACTTAATGTTTCCTATGAAAGTTGCTTAACCCAAAGCAGGGACAGCACTTCCTGGAGGGAGTTTGGGGCGGTGCCCCAAAATGCTGCAGCATAGGTGGAGTTGTATCTTAATCTCTTTGGTTGTCCTGCTGAGATGTCCTCCAGACCTTCTGTAGTATTGAGGCAACTGGTGTTACCCTAATAAATAGGGATTTGGCAGTCATGAAAGCTGACCTAGATTTAGGGGTATCAGCTACTAAAGCTTATCAATGGTAGCTGTATATATTTGTGACTGGAAAACCCCAAAGAAAGATATCTCCCTAAACTTTTAAAACACATACTTAAAAAGCCAACTATTCAAATGTACTTATAATATGGTGTTTAACCCTGCCAGTGTTGCTCAGTGGTTAAGCATCAACCTATGAACCAGGAGGTCACAGTTCAATTCCCAGTAGGGGCACATGCCCAGGTTGCAGGCTTGATCCATAACAGGGGGCATACAGAAAGCAGCCCTCACCACCCCATTGTGTATGTCCACGGGTTTGCATACAAGTTCATTGATTGATCTCTTCCCACCCATCCTCCCCTGCCTTCCCTCTGTGCTTCCAATAGTCTGTTGTTCATGCTTCTATGTCTCTGGGTCTATTTTTTAAAATATATTTTTGTTAATTCCAGAGAGGAAGAGAGAAGGAGAGAGAGAGAAACATCAATGATGAGAGAGAATCATTGATCAGCTGCTTCCTGCATGCTCCACACTGGGGACTGAGCACACACCCAGGCATGTTGCCTTGATCAGAATCAAACCCGGGACCCTGTTGGCCAACGCTCTATCCATTGAGCCAAATCAGATAGGGCTGGGTCTATTTTTGTTCATCAATTTATTTGGTTCATTAGATTCCACATATGAGTTAGATCATGTGATACTTATCTTTCTCTGATTGACTTATTTCACTTAGCATAATACTCTTCAAGTCCATCCATGCTGTTGCAAATGGTTCTTTCTTTTTTATTGCTGCATAGTATTCCATTGTGTAAATGTACTACTGTTTTTTTATCCACTCATCTGCTGATGGGCACTTGGGCAGTTTCCAGATCTTAGCTATTGTAAATTGTGCTGCTATGAGCACAGGGGTGCATATATTCTTTCTAACTGGTGTTTCAAGTTTCTTAAGATATATTACTAGAAGTGGGGCTTTCAGGTGTCTAGAGATTTTTTTTGGTTAACATTCAATGCAAAAGTAGTAGATGGTAGAATTTTAAGGGATTCCCCATAGGTATACTATCATTTATCTGAAGTAATAAGTAAACTATTATCTTTAAAGTGCCTGAATCACAAAATAAATAAATGAATGAATGAATAAATAAATAATCCCTGTATACTTTTAACAAATCAGGTGATTCTTATCCACATTTAAACCAGGTCTTCGCTGATTTAACTTCTTTCTCCAATCATTAGGTTCACTTCCTTTCCTGGACTTCCCTTATTCTTTTTTCTTTGCCCCCTTTTTAATGTTTGAGAATACAGCCTGTTTCATAATATAATTAATACTCCATAATACAAATTAACTTAATAGTGCTATGAAATAGGGAATGATATCAATATAGTGTTGAAGTTAGTTGGTTTACAGGCAATATTCTTAGTTGAATGGAGCCAGAATATTAGTATATTTATAACATTCAGAAGGAAAGGCAAAAGACTTCATTTTGATGTGTTGTTATGAGCCCTTCCACCCTATATTAAGAAAATTAATAATAAATGCTTACATTCAGGGCTCCCTCCTCAGAAACATATACAATCAACTTGCATAGCTTCTAGCTAGGCACCTTGCACTTCACCTGATTCCCACCTTAATGTTAGCCTCACTGGCCTGGGACTTCATTTCATGTGCAGCATTTCAGCACCTGAAATCCAGCATTTCCGCTTTATTTTTATGCATTTTAAATTTTTTATTGATTTCAGAGGGAGATAGAAACATCAATGGTGAGAGAGAATCATTAATCAGCTGCTTCCTGCACGCCCCCTACTGGGGATTAAGCCCGCAACCCAGGCATGTGCCCTGACTGGGAATCGAACTATGACCTCCTGGTTCATAAGTCAATGCTCAACCACTGAGCCATGCCAGTGGGGCTATTTTTATGCATTTTAATACCCACGAAATGGCCTTCAGCCATACTGAGTAGCTTTTTGGGACCTTGAGGTCCCTATTATATTACTAGTAGTTAGTGCTCTGCTAATACAGTTGCATAGACTTGAGTGTTCTTCTCCAGCCCTACTTTCTTCATAAACCCTAGCTTTGGTGTGTAATTTTGCAGGAGTTAGTTTTTTTAGGTACACGTGTAGTATTGTAGCACAAATGCCTATGTTCTAGAGATGTCTAATTCATTTACTTATAATAGGCATTATTTTAGGTCCCCTTTATTTCTCTGTAAACGTTTTCTTCCTGCTGGAACAGAAAAACAGCATGTGTTTGCTTTCTTCTTTTCTTTCAGATTTGAAATCCAGATACAGGACTAATACTTTATCTTCAGAAAAGGATATTTGTGAAATATATTCATTCCAATTGGAAGTAATGGAAAAAATTAAAAGCTATTGCCTTCAAGACTCCATTTTTAGAAATGATTGGGAATGCAAAAGTAAAATTGAAGGGCAAATGGAACCACAAGAAGGATGTTTGGGGCAAGTGGAAATTACTTCTGAAAAAATGACCACATACAAAAAGCATAATTTTCTCGCTGAATATCAGAGAGTTCATAATAGGGAAAAGTTGTATGAATGTAAGGAATGTAGGAAGACCTTTATTCGTCGCTCAACACTTAGTCAACACCTGAGAATTCATACTGGTGAGAAACCTTATAAATGTAAGGAATGTGGGCAGGCTTTTAGACAACGTGCACACCTTATTCGACATCACAAACTTCATACTGGTGAGAAACCCTATCAGTGTAAGGAATGTGGGAAGGCCTTTACAGTGCTCCAAGAACTTACTCAACATCAGAGACTCCATACTGGTGAAAAGCCCTATGAATGTAAAGAATGTGGAAAGGCCTTTAGAGTACATCAGCAACTTGCTCGACATCAGAGAATTCACACTGGTGAGAAACCCTATGAATGTAAGGCGTGTGGGAAGACCTTTAGGCAGTGTACACACCTTACTCGACATCAGAGACTTCATATTGCTGAGAAGCTCTATGAATGTAAGCAATGTGGGAAAGCCTTCGTGTGTAGTCCAGACCTTCGAGTACATCAGAAAATTCATTTTGGTGAGAAGCCTTATGAATGTAAGGAATGTGGAAAGACTTTTAGAATATGCCAACAACTTACTGTCCATCAGAGTATTCATACTGGTGAGAAACCCTATGAATGTAAGGAATGTGGGAAGACTTTTAGATTAAGACAACAACTTGTTCGCCACCAGAGAATTCATACTCATGAGAAACCCTATGAATGTATGGAATGTTGGAAGACCTTTAGTAGTTACTCACAACTTATTTCACACCAGAGCATTCATATTGGTGAGAGACCTTATGAATGTGAAGAATGTGGGAAGGCCTTTAGACTGCTTTCTCAACTTACTCAACATCAGAGTATTCATACTGGTGAGAAACCCTATGAATGTAAGGAATGTAGAAAACCCTTTAGACTGCTCTCACAACTTACTCAACATCAGAGTATTCATACTGGTGAGAAACCTTATGAATGTAAGGAGTGTGGTAAGGCTTTTAGACTTTATTCATTTCTTACTCAACATCAGAGAATTCATACAGGTGAGAAACCCTACAAATGTAAGGAATGTAAGAAGGCCTTTAGACAGCATTCACACCTTACTCAACATCAGAAAATTCATAATGAAATTTAGTACAAGAAAGCCTTGATGTGTACATTATGTTACAGAATTCTCAAAAATTCATTTTGAGAATTGTTTTCATGCTCACATCAAAGCATAAGAAATTTTATATGACGGGAAAAATTTGCTTTAAAAGCCTTCCTTCACCATTCAAACATTTCCTCTGGCAAATGTATGTCAGAGAATAATACAATTAATATAAGAAAAGCTTTAGCTTTCTTTATCATTGTCTCTATCTCACCACTTTATTACCACTTTGTTACTGGACAAGGTACTTAAACTTCTGTGACTCATCTTGTTCACTTGTAAAATGGTGATAATATGTATATTATTTATTGCTGTATAATAAATTACCACAACTTAATTAATAGCTTAAAATAATACATATATATTATTTCACAATTTCTATGGATTGGGAGTCTGGGTGTAACTTAGTTGGGTCCTCTGCTTCAGAATTGCTCATGAGGCTAAAATCAAGATTTTAGTTAAGGCTGGGTCTGATCTGAAGGCTCAACTGGGAAAGGGATCCACTTCCAACCTCATATGGTTGTTGGCTGAATTTATTTTCTTGAGGGCTACTGCACTGAGGTCCTAAGTTTCTGACTGTTGGCAAAAGGCTGACCTCAGTTCTTTGCCACATAGGTCTCTTTAACATGGCTGCTTCATCAACAAATAGTCTGCTAGAATCATAAAATTTACAATCTTGTGTAGTCTAATCACTGAAGGAATATTTCATCACTTTATGTCTTCTACTGGCTAGAAGCAAATTTCTAGGTTGCCTACACTCAAGGGAAGAGGATTCCATAAGTGTGAAGACCAGGAGGTAGGGACCACTGGGGCCAGTTTAGAGTCAGCTTGTGTACACTGTAATAGAATTGTAAGGATTAAGTAGTTAATATTTGGAAAAATAGCAGCCACATAGCATGTTTTCTGTACATATTATCTGTAATTGTTATCATTAGTATTAGTGAATTCATATGAAAGGAATTTCCTATAGAAGTAAAAAATTGAGAAATGCTTCCTATTACTGTTCAGCACTTATTTAATTTATTCTGGATAAAACCTAGGATGTTATATTGAATGTGAAAAGTTCATCATTTAAGCTGCATCAGAAATTACATGCTGAAAAGAAAGCCCTAAAATTTTCATGAATATGACATTGTTAAGAGTACAACTATTGCCCTGACCAGTTTGGCCTGCGGACCGAAGGGTCCCAGGTTCGATTCCAGTCAAGGGCATGTACCTTGGTTGCGGGCACATCCCCAGTAGGGGGCATGCAGAAGGAAGCTGATTGATGTTTCTCTCTCATCAATGTTTCTGACTATCCCTCTCCCTTCCTCTCTGTAAAACATCAATAAAATATATTTTTTAAAAAGAGTACAACTATTGAAGATTCAAAGAGAAACATGAAATTATTTCCCCATAATAAATTCCTGAAAGATTTATTATCTCTATTGTCTAAGCACCATTCAAAATTAATTAGAAACTATCAAAAAGATGTCAAAAAGGAAATAAATCATTTGTAAATTTAATATTGTATGTGCATATTCATGCATGTATGTTTGTGTGTATAAAGCACTTGTATAAAAGAAAACATTTTTTTTTACAGTCAATAACTTTTGGTGCTCAAATTGTCCCATCTTCAACCAGTGGAAGTTGGGTCTTTTGAAATGACCCCCCTAGTAGTTAGTTTACTTGGTTATGGCTATACAATTCGTCAGCTATGGATGGTGCCTAGGCACTGACTCATCCTAAAAATTGGCAAGGGTTAAATAATTTATTTTGTTTTTCCCTTTTGAACCAAGTTTCACAGCCATCAAAAACTCATCAAATTGATTTTTAAATCTAGTAAATACAGAGAGATTCATAAGATTAGAAAAATCACCACTCTCTAGTTTCCTAATGGATAGTGGATCCAGAAGATAATTGGTAAATATTACAACTATTAAGTGAAAGATTTTATAAGTGAGAATGCTAGAATGGATTTATCAAGCTGACCACCTCTGAATCTGTTCATCAATTTTAGCCTCTATAAAAGTGGGACTATCAGACTATTCACCTCCTGAAGGAATGCAATAGGAAGTATGCACCACTACTTATAAAACCTTATTTCCAACATCATGAACTGAAGGAATTAAACCTTTATGTCAAATTATTTTAAACCAAGAATGTGGAATAGATGAATAAAATAAATGGCAACATAACCAAGCAGCCAAACAGATTCAGAATGTGTAAAATTCTACAAACAACCTGCTTTCTTCAACTAATGAGTGACGTGAAAAAGAAAGGAAGGACAACTGCTAGATTAAAAGACACAAGAGACCTATCAACTAAATTTAGTGTGTGGGCATTACTTGGACCTGCTTTGAACAAAATGTAAAAAGATTTTGGAGACTGGGGGAAATGTGGACATGCACCGAGTTAATTAGATGATATTTAGAAATAATTTTGTTAAGGATGATCACGTCAATGTGGTTTTTAAGAAATATTAGTGCTCCTGTGTGTAGAGATACCTGTTTATATGTTTATGAAATTACTAGAGGCCCGGTGCATAAAAATTCATGTACACGGGGGGGTCCCTCAGCCCAGCCTGCACCCTCTCACAGTTTGGGACCCTTGGGGGATGCCCACCTGCTTGCTTAGGCCTGCTCCCCAAGAACAGGGATGATCTAAAAGAAATAATCATAACCTTGGGTAAGGATTTTTTAAAAAGGTAATGTTTGCATGAAAATTCACTGCTGGCGGGGCTGAGGGGACTGGGGGACTCCGGCAGCAGGTGGGCGGAGTGGTCGGACCTGCCTGGGGGCGGGCCCGGCCGCACTATGCACCTGATGGCCCCCCTGCTACCCCCTCACCACCCCCCTGCTACCCCCCCAGGGGACTGAGGAGACTGGGCACCACCATATTGTGGTTGTGGGTGCCACCATCTTTGTGAGGGCATGATGGTCAATTAGCATATTACCTCTTTATTATATAGGATAAGATATCCAGATTTACATTAAAATACTCCAACAATAGAAAAAGAATGAAAGAGAACTGGAAAGTAGGTTGACAAAATGTTGATAATTAAGTGGAGTGGTTTGTATATGGGGGTTCATAATAATATTAATACTGTTTGTTTTTAAAGGTTTTAATAAAAATATTTAATATCAAAACTGAAATTATAGACTACTTAGAAATTATTGTTAATGAGATGCCTGTATATGTAAACGTGTCAGATATCACCAAAGTTCTATTCAGGAAGAAATGAATATCCTTTAATAAGTTCAGGAAACTGGACACAGTTTTGATCTTTTTCACTTATCCAGAGCAGTCAAATCTGGATCTGTCACATCCATAAATGTGATTAAGGAATGAAAAAGCATTTATGTCAAGACATCAGAAACAGAAGAAAACAAAACCAACACCAGAGAAGTAAAGTACCTTTAAAAAATAGAAATTAAGAGACTAGACAATATAGTAGACTTAATTGAATGTTTTTTAAAGTCTTTTTCAATTACAGTTGACATTCAATATTATATTAGTTTCAGGTGTACAACATAGTGGTTAGACATTTATATAAATTAAGAAGTGATCCCTCAATAAGGCTTAGTTCCCACCTGGCATCACACATAATTATTACAATATTAGAAGCCCGGTGCACGAAATTCATGCACTGGAGGAGGATTGTCCCTCAGCCCAGCCTGCACCCTCTCTAATCTGGGACCCCTCGGGGGACATCCCTCTCACAATCCGGGACTGCTGGCTCCTAACCACTAGTCTGTCTGCCTGCCTGATTGCCCCTAACCACATCTGCCTGCCAGTCTGATGACCCCCTAACAGCTCCCCTGCTAGCCTGATTGACACTTCAATGTTCCCCTGCTGGCCCAATCACCCCCAACTGCCCTCCCCTGCTGGCCCGATTGCCCCCAACTGCCCTCCCCTGCTGGCCATCTTGTGACAATGTGAGGGCGGGCATAGTGTGATGACATGGGGGCAGCCATCTTGTGATGCGAGGGCATGAGGGTCAATTTGCATATAACCTCTATTATATAGGATTACTATTTTCTTTTTCTTTATTTTCTTGTTTAAAGTATTACAATTAGTAGTACATGTGTCTCCTTTTTTTCTCCATTTACCTTCCCCTGGCCTCCCCTACCCTCTAGCACATGCCCTTACCAACCCCGCCCAGTGTCTTGTGTCCATTGGTTATGCTTATATGCATGCATATAAGTCCTTTGATTGATCTCTTACCACCCCCAACACACACACTTCCCAGCCTTCCCACTGTAATTTGACAGTCTGTTCGATGCTTCTCTGCCTCTATATCTTTTTGGTCATCTACAGTAATAAAAGAGAAAAATGGTAATTGGCGTACGGCGCTACCCTTTTCATTGGCTAATCAGGGCTATATGTAAATTAACTGCCAACTAAGATGGCAGTTAACTGCCAACAAAGATGGCGGTTAATTTGCATATGTAGGCACAATGCAGGGAGGCGAAAGGGAAAGCAGGAAGAAGCCCCCTGCCACTGACAGTGATCAGAAACCCAGGGGGGAGCTAAGAGGTGGGGGGCAGGGCAAAGGCGGCCCTGGGGCCGCCTTTGCCCTGCCCCCCAGCCATGATCGGAGAATCAGGCGCCTTTGCTGTCCTGGCCAGTGATAGCAGGAAGTAGGGGTGGAGCCAGCAATGGGAGCTGGGCACGGTCAAAGCTGGCAATCCTGGGAGCTAGGGGTCCCTTGCCTGGGCCTAAAGCAGAGCCCACATTCACGGGGCCGCTGCAGCTGCGGGTCCCCGCTGCTCGGGCCAGATGCCTCAGCCAGAGGCGTCCTGCAGGGGCAGGGGTGGAGCTTGCGCGATCGCGGCGCCCCCCGCTGCCACTGTGGGTCCCCGCTGCCCGGGCCAGACACCTAGGCCAGAGGCATTAGGCCTGGGCAGGGGCGGAGCCTGCAACCACGAGGAGCTGGGGGTCCCCTGCCCAGGCCTAATGCTTCGGCCAGAGGCGTTAGGCCTGGGCAGGGGCAGAGCGGGAGATCGCGGTGCTGCTGCCGCTGCGGGTCCCCGCTGCCCAGGCCGGACGCCTCTGCCAGAGGTGTTAGGCCTGGGCAGCGGCGGAGCCTGCAACCTTGGGGAGAGGCGTTAGGCCTGGGCAGGGGCAGAGCGGGAGATCGCGGGGAGCTGGGAGTCCCCTGCCCAGGCCTAATGCCTTGGCCAGAGGTGTTAGGCCTGGGCAGGGGCAGAGCCTGCAACCGCGGGGAGCTGGGGGTCCCCTGCCCAGGCCTAATGCCTCGGCCAGAGGTGTTAGGCCTGGACAGGGGCAGAGTGGGAGATCGTGGGGAGCTGGGAGTCCCCTGCCCAGGCCTAATGCCTCGGCCAGAGGCATTAGGCCTGGGCAGGGGCAGAGCCTGCAACCGTGGGGAGCTGGGGGTCCCCTGCCCAGGCCTGACACCTCTGCCAGAGGCCTCAGGCCTGGTCAAGGGGCCGATCCAGTGATTGGTGATTGGAGGGTGATGAGGGTCAACTCCTCTGGCCGAGGCATCAGGCCTGGGTGGGGGGCTGGGGGTCCCCTGCCCAGGCCTGATGCCTGGGCCAGAGGCATCAGGCCTGGGTGGGGGGCAGAGCCGGGGACTGGGGGGATATGATGGTCCCCTTGCCCAGGCCTGAAGCCTGGGTCACAGGTGTCAGGCTTGGGAGGGGGGTGGAGCAAGCTATCAGAGGGAGATGGGGGTCCCCTGCCCAGGCATGATTCTTGGGCCAGAGGCCTCAGGCCTGGGCTGGGGTCAGAGCCAGTGATCGGGGGGAGATGGGGGTCCCCTGTCCAAGCCTGACACCTCTGGCAGAGGCGTCAGGCCTGGGCAAGGGGCCAATCAGTCGATCGGAGGGTGATGGGAGTCAACCCCTCTGGCCGAGGCATCAGCCTGGGCAAGGGGCAGAGCCAGAAATCGGAGGGGTTTGGGGGTCCCCTGCCCAGGCATGATTCCTGGGCCAGAGGCATCAGGCCTGGGCTGGGGGCAGAACCAGAGATGGGGGGAATGAGGGTCCCCTGCACAGGGGCCGATCCTGTGATTGGAGGGTGATGGGGGTCAACGCCTGAGGGCTTCCAGTATGTGAGAGGGGGCAGGCTGGGCTGAGGGACACTCCCCCCCACACACACACCCAGTGCACGAATTTCGTGCACCGGGCCCCTAGTCCTATCTAATAAAAGAGAAACATGGTAATTAGCCATACATCCGTTACCCTTCCCATTGGCTAATCAGGGTGATATGCAAATTAACTGCCAGCCAAGATGGCGGCCGGCAGCC